TTACTAACACAATCTTATAGTCCTAACCTTCCTTTGTCCAATCTGTTCCTCACTTTCTGTCACGTCATCAATCATTCTGCGCCACTTTCTTCACTTTTTTTTAGTATCTTCTTCACCCCATTCACAGTTCCACTCTCTCTCTCATATTTTTTTTCTCAGTGTTTTAGTTTCCCTGTTTCTCTCGCTAATCTACTTTCTTTTCTTTCTCAGTTTCAGGTTCTCTCCCTCTCTCTCTCTGTTTTTCCTTTTCCAAAATTCATATAGAATCCCTTCTCCTCTTCTTCTTTGGCTTTACCTAGTCATCATCCTCATCATCATCATCATATTGAGCCACTTTCAGTCAAAATCATCATAATCATCCTAGCCTGCTCCCGGTGAGAGATTCTTCTGACTTCCGGCGCCGAAAACATCATCTCCAAGCCAATATTTTTCTCAAAGCTACTTCACATTCACATTCACATGGATTTCTCTCCTCTCCCAATAGAGTTTCTCTCTCTCTTCCATTCTTCTTCGAGGCGCTGAAATGTGGTCCAATCTTCAGCTTCCTCTAGCTGCCTTCAATCGCCAGCAAAAGGCTAAAAGAAACTTAAAATAAATAAATAATTCTCTTTTTGTTTCATCGAAGCCAGAGCCAGAGGGACGAGGGGTTTAAACTGCCTTCTCCAAAACGGCACCGTTCATTGGGGAACGGTTAAGGGGTCCTAATGGGTTGGCGGGAGAAAGAAGAAGAAAGGAAGTAAAAGAAAAAATTGAAGAAGAGAAAAGAAACAAAAAAAGGGCTCCGACTGGGCTTCTTCCGGCGTGGGCCGAGTGGAAAGAAAAGAGGAAGAAATAAATTAATAAAGAAAGAAAAAATATTATAAATCTGGACTAAACGGCACCGTTTTCTTGACATTCTGGTTCGTTATCTTTTAATTATATTCGAGACAAAATTAAGGTATGACATATTTTAGCTTAATATTTTTTATTTGAGACATGTAAAATATATTAAATGAACATATATTAATTAATAATATATATGCTACTTGATACAACTTTCAATAACTTAGTTATAAAATTACGTTATAAATAATGATTTAACTAGGTATAATACCACTATCATTATATACATAATTAAAATAGTTATAAAAAGACAGTAGAAGATGATAAATAAATAAAAAGTACATTGAACATCATATATATTATAATCGAGTAACACACTAAGTTATTTTTATGTATAATTTATTTTTTTTTTTTTTGTGGTTATTCATAAACTTTTTTTTTATTGTTATTAAAAGTTTATCAAGGAGCGTAAACTCATGAAATAACATTATTTTTAACAATATGTCAACATTTTTGATAAAAAAATATGAGACATATTATCATAATCTAGTAATTTGTATATGATGCATTTAATGAAGTACAATATTATTTAACTATATTGGTAAACATAGTCAAATTCAATCTATTTATAAATGTAATTTATTTGTAAAATTTTAATTTATATTCATATTTTTAAAATAATATCTTGAATGACTAAAATTTATACTAATTTGATAAAAAGTAACAAAAACATCAACTAACATTAATTAATTACTAATATATAACAATTATGTAAACTTAATTACTACTAATTTTAATTTAAATGTATATTAGCTATTTATTTACTATTTTTTAAATAAAATCATTTAATCTTAACACATACAATATAATATTTTTGAAAGAAATTAATAATTTTTCTTTAAATAAATCTTTTTAGATTGTACCAGACTCTTGCAATAGTGCAATGCATGGACCACCATGGACCAAGTTATATTATATTAAAATATTAATTTAATATAATATAAGTCCGTATCAAATATTAAATTAATAAAAAATAAATATTTTATTTTAAGCCAAAAATTTTAAAAAAAAATAAAATAAACAAGGTATGAAAGAAATGAGTAGTTGAGTTGCACATGGTGTAGCCAAATGGACCTGCACTGTGTAGAGCTTAGCCACCAAGCTGTGGTGCAACTTGTGTGTTCATGCTGCATTACAGCTTGCATGGATCAATCATAGCCATTGCTGACTCATGATTTTGGTCCACCTCTTTTTGGTTACTGATACAGTTTTTGAGTATAAATATTTTTGAAATATAGTATAAATAATAATTTTATATTTTATCATAACTTATCTAAATAATTTTTATTTTAAAATTTAATATATAAATAATTTAAAATAAATATATATTGAGAATAATAAATACAACAATTGAATTAAACTAAATATTTTTCAAATAATTTAATTATTAAAATATTTTTTAAAAAATTTAATGTTATATGAGTAATTGTAGTATGTGAGTTAACGATTTAGTATAGATCATTACGTAATAATTCAAGAAAATTTATGTAATGAAAGTGTTATGTTGGATTTAATTTAGAATTGAGTTTTCTTATCTATTCATATAAATACATGATTTACATGACTGAAGTTGTTGTTCTTATACTAATGATAAGTATTTTAAAATCTATTTTATAAATATAAAATAAATAGATCAAATAATAAATATATATATATATATATAACATTCATATATGATTAAGTAATATGATACATGGTAGATTGTTAAAACATATTCTTTTATTGTTAATTGTGTAGAGGTGAGGATAGTTCATTTCTCTCTTCTCACTTTTTCAAAATGACAACTATCAACCGAACAACTTGTTAAAGCTTGAAGCTATCCAGAAATTAAAGAAAAATAGTGCAGACTTTTCCTATCAATCATAAGAAATTTTATAAACATAGAGTATAAGAGAGAACAAATACCGAGGATTTGAAAAAATAAACAACCTATTTTTATTAGTGAAAACTTCAGTATTTATATACAGGATCTAATCACAATTAATCACTCTAATATTGATTAACTAAAACTAACTTAAATAAACTTAACCAACTAATTACAACTGCTTTAACAGCTGCTAACTATGCATGTGTAACCTAACGTTTGACTACCTCTTAGCCTCTCCTCAAGCCAGTGTATATATATTTTGTATACCCAGCTTGATGATAACATTTTGAAAATGCTGAAATAGAAAGAGCCTTTGCAAAACAATCAACTAATTGAAGACTTGAAGAAACAAGTAGCAAATGTATAAGCCCATTAGAAAGTTTTTGCCAAATTAAATGGTAATCAATTTTTATGTGCTTCGTATGCTCATGGAAGAAAGGATCTTCGGTAATTCAAATTACTAATTGTTGTCACAATATAATGCTACTGTTTTGTAAGGAATTTGCAAGTCTTGAAGTATATATTAAAGTCATTGAAGTTCACACGTCACTGTTGCCATAACGCAATATTCAGCTTCTAACAAAGATCTGGAGATCGTTTGTTGTTTCTTTGTCTTCCAAGATATCAGGGTATCACCTAAAGACACACAAAATCCGGTTATAGACTTCCTTGAATCAATGCAAGAAGCCCAATCAAAATCACTAAAAGCTTTTAGATGTAAAGAGTTTTGAGAATAATAGAATAGTCCTTGTCCTAGTGCGCTCTTCAAATAACGTAAGACCCGATGCACTACATGTAGATGTTGTGTTGGTGAATCTAAAATTTAAGATAGTTATTGAATGAAAAAGATATATCTAGTCTAGTATTAATAAGATATAGAAGTTTGCCAATAAGGTGTTTATAAGAAGTAAAATCAACTAAAAGTGAACCATCGTGTTTGCATAATTTGATTGAGGTATTCATAGTTGTAGGTGTAGGTTTGTAACCTAAAAATCCAATGTATATTTACGTTGACATATGCTGATCCCTGAGCAGAACGAGCTACCTCCAAACCTTAAAAGAATTTGAGCTCACGAAGATCTTTAATTTTGAATCTCTCATACAAATAGTTTTTAACAAGTTGAATATGATGCATATCATTACTGGCAAGAATAACATCATCAACATATACGATAAGAGCAAAGAAACATGAATTTGTATTTTTTAAAAATAAAGAAGAGACAGAATGAGCTTTGTTTGATACCTTGAGTTTTCAAGGCTTTAGTAAGTTTGAAACGTCATTGACGACTTGCTTGTTAAGCCCATGAAGACTTTTCTTAATATACATACCTGGCTACCTGCAGTAGCTTGAAACCCGGGTGAAAGTGTCGTATATTTCTTCATGAAGATCACCATGGAGAAAAACATTGTTAATATCTAATTGATGTAAAAACCAATTTTTGGAAGCAGCCATTGTAAGTAACGTTCTTATTATTGTCAGCTTTGCTATTGGGGAGAAAGTATCAAGATAATCAACACACGATTGTTGTGTATAATCTTTTATAATTAATCGGGCTTTATACCTCTCAATAGACCCATAAACTTTTTTTGTATTTTATAAACTCATCTACATCCGATTGATTGTTTATTAGAAGGTAAAATTGTCAGTTTCCATGTATTATTTTGTTCTAATACTTGGATTTCAGCAAACATAGCTTCTTTTCAACAATGATGCATGATGGCTTTATTGTATGATTTGGGTTCTTTTTCTTGATGTATGACAAAGATGAATGATTTATGGGTATCATTTATATGGTTATAGGTAAGGAAATTTGAAATTTTATGTGGTGTAGATG